TACAGTTAGAAAGTACACTTAGAAAAATTCGGTACTTTTCTAGGTTACAAATCTATTAGGTTAAATTGTGTGTTGTAAAATGATGTAGTCTTGAAGAGATCCGTTAGAGGAACTACGGACATATGAAGTCAAAAGGGATGAGCAATGGCTAGGGACACGATGGAGCATTACACTCAAGCAACAGTGGCTGTGTACACAGCTTGGGCTGAGCATCACCGTGTCGTATCTCCGATGCACCTGCCAACCCATAAAAAGAGAGAGAAACCGCAAAAGCCTTTTTCTTTGCGAAGAAGTAATTGAAATAGCAGGAAGTAAAAGATGCTAAGTCGCCCCAGAAGACGCTTCAGCTCCGGTTTCGAAGACCGCGTGGTCTAGCCTTCACCACAAGGTCTGTTTGTTGTGGTACGGACCACAGTGCGTCGAGACGAAGATGCACCTTAGATGGGTTCAGCTAAGGCCAATATGCGGCCAACGTTAGGAGCGAGCACAAGGACGTACCGTAGCTCGGCTCAGGCGGCGGAGGAGTGGTTTTTAGTCAGTTACAGTCTGATACTCTTCTTCGTCCCAACCAAGGCGGGAGAAGTAATAGGGTGAAAAGTTACGAAACTGATGTAACAGTGTACTAATCACATTTGTCGAAAGAAAACATTTTAATCAATCCCACTAATTAATGGATCACAGTATCTGAGTAGTACGATTTGTTTAACGTAAAGGCTATCGGAAGGCCTGTGGCTTGCTTGACAGTCGGCGCTCGGATTGGCCAGATGCAGATTAATCAACCAATTAGAGTGCTAAACGCGGTAATTTTTCAAGACAGATACCTAAGAAAGAAAGAAAAGAAGAAAGAAAGAAAAATAATTTATTCGTAATTAGGCATGGCCCTCCAAATATACATACACAAAAGAACAATGTAAAAATAAAATAAAATAAATAACAATATAAACAAACATCTTTTGAGTAATAAAAAGTAAAAAAAAAAAACAATATAAACAAATAAAAGAGTAACAGGGGCGCATCATGCCCAATACAAAAGGGCCTGCCAACTCAGTTTAAGCTGGGCACAGTAAGTACCCAACACTGGTTTTCAGTTGGCACCCTTGCAGCGACGCACGGACGAAAGCAACGAAAAATATTTGAAAGGAAAATATTGCATACGAATAGCTACTTAAAACACATCCTGTTAAAGAGAAGAAGAGTGTTAAAATAAGTACCTATACATAAACTAAAACTAAAATACATAAACTAGTATAACAAGTACCGTCACCAAAGGAAAAAAAAACAAATACCTACAGTCTGAAATAACACACTGACTAACTACTATGCTATGCTGGGAGTAAGAATTTCATGGTAAATATCAAATTGTTTCAGTAGTTTACGAGTGTGAAAGTACTTGACAGAGAAACAGAATAAGCAATTGACAGCCGTCATTAATATGGGTGCCAAACAAGGTGATTACAATATCATTACCTCGATAGAGCTCCTGTAAATACGGGCGATATATGTATGTTCAATTGTGGACAGATACGGGCCCTTCATTATGACTATGATTGATGTGTTTATTGGAACCACATAGTAAGACAAGGATACATATTCACATGTTTATTGCTTAGTGTGTAATAAGCCATGCAACGCACCGCGACTCCATAAATGAGGTCTTATTTACCCACCAATGATTACAAAACTTTTTTGATCGTAACTTTATTTGGTATTATCACGCAGGAACCGTCATTGAACCAACGAATATTCGTGAATCAAAATGTAATAGAATAAAATAAAAAAAAGTAGGAAAAACAAAAGAAATCGATGATGAACAGACTCCAATAGTAATTAATGTACAAGGCAGCTGACAGTCACGCTGCAAACAAGCGCTCAGCAAGTGATACATTAAAATGTAGCTAACTAGCCATACTTTTTCATATTTATCTCTTGTACACTCGCGATTATTGAATCATGCCATCCCACTTTGACGTCTAATCATACGAATTGTTCATAAGCGTGTGCATTAAGTGTGCCGTTTTTGAAAATCGGATGTTGTTTATGTAGCATATCTACACCATTTTACTTATAATATCATTGGCTGCAAATATCTCTTCTCACATGGATTCAATAACAATTCAGGCACGGTATGGTCACGTCACCGCAGTGAGTGCAATCTCCTATATCTCTATTGCACTCAACTTAGTGACAAAAAGTCGCGTTGAAGTAAAACCACCATCAGCGGCGGATCTTAGTACAACCGCTTTCATTAAAACCACCTAAAACAATGGATGTTATTTCCTTAATAAATGACATTGCAAAAAACAACTGACTGAGTTTGAAACAATTCAATCAGTACCTATGCGCTCAACTACCCCAAGGAGAGCGACTGAAAATCGATAAATTAATCATTGATGCTAATCAATTAGGAATATCAATTGTTTACTAACTTCCTTAAAATCGTCTAAGTCGAACTAGCAATTATTTTTTCCTGCACTTTTTGTCCGCTACAGTCTTCAAGGGGACTTTTTGTTTGTTGTATTTTTTTAATATAAATATTTTGTGTTGCATAAGAAATTAGTAAAAAAACTAAGAAAAACATTGATTATGTGACTCGATTTGACCTTTTACAAGTTTTTATTTATTTTCACTTGTCCCGATGATTATGAGTAAAACATTTAAAAAATATTATTGGAAAGAGTCTACCACGTCGTGTGGAAAAGTGTCCTTGGCCTTTGGGGCTTAGAAAAGAAATACAATAATAATACGGGGTTAAAAAGTCAGAACACGTAAAAAAATTAGAAATTTGTAAAAAGCAATGCAATTATTACTTTATGCATAAAGGAATAATGATGATTTCATGCTTATAGTGACATGTGGTCTTATGTTAATTTGTAATTATAGCCTACTCAATTTTTTTTAACAAAAATATGCATGTCCCCTGAACCTAGGAGGATAAAAACGTCTGTCATTCTGAGGACGCAATGTTTTTGCCATTAGGTAGAATATGAACATACTAAGGACACAAGCATTTTTCACTGGGACCCTTAGGTACCTTACAAAACAGGTATTTGTCGTGTCTTTAAGTGTGGGAGAGCCCTGGGTCGGCTCATCTATGGAGATACCACGGCCTCACAGAATACCGGCGTTAAGAAACACTCACGTGTGTTTCGCGGAGTGAGTGAGGTTACCGGAGATCCATTACCTCCCCCACCCCTCCATTCTCAATTCTCGAATCCTTGTTACCCCACAAGGGGCCGGCAACAACCATGTAATAACTCATTTGGTATTACAAGCGTCCAAAGACGGCGCCAATAGCTTACCATCAGGTAACCAGTCTGCTCGTCTGCCGATCTATGCCATAAAACTTCTTCTGCAGATGAAATCGAAATAGCGATGCATTTTGCTTCAGTTTTTGTGCACGGTAAAGAAGACGGTAGGTCTTTAAGGGAAGTTTTTGTCGCATTTTTTTTATTGACAATGTTTTCTGTGTATTGTTGTCGCTTGAGTGACGAGACTAGATACAAGGACTGTGCGTGTACTGAACCACGACCTCCACTATGTAACATGCCAACGTCATGGTAGCCCGGAGGTTAAGGCGCCCGCTTCTCATGTATGAGTTCGAAACCACTTACCAATGTGACTTTTTCTGAGATACAGGTACTTTCTATGATTATTTAGTTTAAACACATCCGGTGAAGGAAAACATTTTGAGGAAACCTGGACTTATCATTTCTATTAATTAGTTTGAAATCGCCAATCCGCCTTGAACAAGCGTGGTGATTAAGGCTCAAACTTTCTCCGTGTGAGAAGAGGCCTTTGCTCAGCAGTGGGCACATAAAGGCTAATGACGCGTGAACGTGATTGAGAGTAGGTGCATTCGATATCTGAATATAATTATGTAAATAGATAAATTAATATAATCGTGTGCACTTATATTTAACATTTTGTTTGTTATTTTTTCATCAAACTAGATCGACAGGATGATTTTGATACATGTCGCTAGAACAGTCGAGAAAGACACTCGCTGTTTTGGTAAACAAAGTTAATCTATTCTATCCAAGATTCATTGTTGCTAATGATATAAATTTCTCATTGCCAGGTGATAAAAATATATAAAACCTGTTTTTTATTATTATTTATTTATTTATTATTGCTTAGAAGGTACATTTTACACTATAAAAAGTATAAAATGTCCAACAAAACTGTATACACAGTTATCTTTCAATATTATTTTGTTGTAAAATAAGTCATCTTGTTTATATTTTTTTTTGTTATGATTAGTCAGTAAGAGTTTGATACTCCCTTTTATTCCACCCAAAGCAAAAGACACATTATGATTTCTCCCCTCGAAAAAAATCTATCAAATAAAAAGTATTTCAAGTTAAGCATGCCAGAAGTTCAAGAAACGAAGGGTGCTGCCTCTTCGGGCACAAGACGCTCCTTTCCTATTTTACTACTAAAATGCTGTGCATATGTATGATAACACAATTACCGATAAAACCTACCTTACCTACCTTAGTACTGTCTACCTGGAAGGTCTAATGGAATGCATAAAAGCTTTTATAAATAAATCACTCAGATATAGTATTTCTTCTTTTTCAAGTCTTTCTTTATTATTAAAGACTATTATCTAAAGTTGTAAATGTCGTGGTAGCCTGGAGGTTAGGGCACCCGCCTCATGCATGAGGCCACATGGGGGTTAGAAACATGACAAGTACCAATGTAACTTTATCCAAGTTATATGTACTTCCTAGGTTAACTTAGGCAGTGTAGGAAAACGTCGCAAAGAAACCTAGACTTAGGTACAATACCTATTAAAAAATTTGAATTTGCACATCCGCCTTGATGAGCAATTGTGGTGATTATTGCTCAAACCTTCTTCTAGTAAGAAGAGGCAGTAGGAATTAGGCTGATGACTATAGTTATTACTGACCACAATCGCCACACTTGGCAGAACAATACACCCTTGAAAACCCAAAGTGATTCCAAGAATGTTACTAATCTTAGTCTGTCTTTTGTAGATGGTTCCACGGAGTGATGTCGGCGAAAGAAGCGGAGCTGCTCATCATGCAAAAGGGGAAGAATGGCTCCTTTCTCGTGAGGGAGTCTCAAGCCCACCCTGGGGAGTTCGTGCTATCTGTTAGAGTCAGGGAGAGAGTCAGCCACGTCATGATCAGAAGACAAGTAAGTGCATTTGAAATACTAGGTACTGAAGGGAGATATCGGGATAACCGAATGGACGTGCCATAACAGGCGTTGAAGGGGATTAATTTAGAAGTACTATTATTGAACTATAGGTGTTGGTGATAACTAATGGTATAAGTATAATACTTCAAACTTAAGCTTTTGAGTTCCTCCGAAAGGTTTACTCTAAAACAACAGCTATAATTTAATTTATGATTTAATGTTTTATTCTTTTATTTATCAAGGATTACCATCAGTTTCTGTGTACAGTAGAGTTTACTAACAGCATCAACTTCTAATTAGAGACATAGGAAAACTTATGACATTTTTAAACAATTGGTTTTAAGTATACATATAATTTTCTCATAAATGTCTGAGAAATTATTAAAAAAATGTCTGTAAGCGAACACTACTGACATAATTCTAATTGTAATTCTGAGAAGGTTTGATAAATTATATTCGCCCTCCAATAATAGACTCTGCCAATATACACTAGGCTTCTGAGTAGAACATAAGTAATCCAGATAAAAATCACATCATAAAAATAGATACAATCAGACAGATCGGACTCATCACCATTTACTTGCTCAAGTAGTAATTATGTGCAATTAAATAATCTTATTACAAGTAGTCGATGAATTAATTATTCTTTCTAACAATATTTACATCAATTAAAATGTAAATGCGTGTTTACGAGTTATAAAAAAATATTGATGTCGTTAGTAAAACGCCATTTTGTTTTCTTTCAAATTTAGATTATGCATCATAACGCCATCTATGATATGAGACTTGTAAACTGAAATAATAGGTAATCATAAATAACCTGTGTAAATAACGAAAGCTTACTTCTTACAAGTATTATAAATGCTAAAGTTACGATGTTTTATCAGGATGAAATTTGGCACAGGCATAGGATACACTCCGGAATAGGACATAGGCTACTTTCTATAAACATACAACGCGGGTGGAATTTAGTATTTAATAAGTGGACTACTTACCCTGGAATAAAATGTAGGTACAAAGTACTTGATGAAAAGTATAGTATACACAGAGTATACAAGTGTGGGAGAGCCATACCTCGGCCTCACAGAATACCGGCGTGAAATAACTACAGCGTTGTGTTGCGCTGTGTAAGTGAAGTGACCGGACCCAATCCCTCCGCATTCCCAAAATCTCGAAATCCCTAACCCCCAAACGGTCGGCAACGCACTTGTAACACCTCAGTTGTTCGAGTATTCATGGTTCCGACGTTGATTGCTTAACATCAGGTAATCTGTTAGGTCTTTTGCCGACTTATCACATAAAAAAAATACACCTGAACTAATCACGGCGCAGAATTGATACTGAAGCCTCGCAGTTTCCCCAGCTTAGTTTATAGCCTATGTTCATCGATAATAGCTTACCAGCTGTGAAATATTTTTTTAAATGGATGAAGTAGTTTCAGTGCCTATTTCATTTAAACAAACAATGAATTTTTTTCTTTTTATAATATTAGTATTGTATATTATTGTAATCTGTCTCGCTAGTCAGACCAGAACCGTAATGAACGCTAAGGGCTTTTCTCTAGTTATAGTTATTATTGTGAATAAATTCAACAAAAAGTAGAGCATCGTTTAGGTATATTTCAATCAGTTTTTATCAATCTGATCGCTTTGTAATATTCTAAAATATCAGGAATGACGATTTATTTTGACCAATATTTTTTGTAACTAATGAACATCGATCACTAATGTTCTTTATTAGTGATCGATGCTAATGGAAAAATATTTTTGTATATATTATCTAACCAACGGACTAAATAGATTTTACACGCTGTCATCATGCTTAATAACAAAAAATAATAACTGCTTCCTTTAGATTTTGCTTCTCTGTTTCCCTTCGTTTAACAAAAGGTATGACAACTTTAATATCATGTACATGTGGAATTGCAAATAACAAGTTTACAATGAAAGAAAGTTGATCGTGAAATCCGGTTGCGTTTTTACAATCGATTCAATGTTACCTTGAGGTTAATGAACTGATAAAATTATATTAATGAACAAGTCATGTGTATATAATCATTCGAGTATTTGTACATTGTGCCTTGTGCGGGATATTTTTTCATTGTAGTAGGTAATTAAATAACGACGAAAAATTAAAGCTTGACATATGTAGATAAATGGATATAGTTACATGTCTGACGACAGATAGATGAAGCAATGTATCCCTTTACCGTCGTAAAGAACCTTGAACCTCGACAGGATACAATTTATTCATATATTACTCTTCATTTCACTAAAAAGCAGGAAACAAACTCACGTTTTTACCATCATATCCTCAATCGTACCTATACATATCGTCAGAAACCAATGACTCAGCCCAATTACGGAAGATTTCAATGATTGGCAGCGTCCAGAAAAATTCGAACAATGTTTTAACCGTTTTCGGGTTTCCCCAAGTCATATAACAGGTTTATGTAATTGTGCTTCGTTTCAAAAACTGTTGTCTGTATAAGTATGAAGTAGTGGAAGGGTTAGGTACGGTCTCTTTGGTTCATGGTAGCTACAAGACTTTTATTGGGTTTATTTTGGTTTTTCCAAATTCAAAAATTGTTAGATACTTCTTGAATGAAGCTCTTCCCCTCTGGTTGCATTTGCGGTAACAGTAAAACATCCTTTATTTCACAAGGTTTTTGGTACTCGTCGAGTATTTTTGCTATGCCTATCTCTGCTCTTCATTCTTTATCATTAAATATACATAAAAACATTTAAACCTTTGGCAATAATATGTTTCGTCAAATAAAGTTCACAACTCAAACTTTCTGTAATATAATTGGATAGTCCATCACAAAAAATGTACGCGTACGTTGTATGTAGTGTGTATGTAGGTTATGTTGAATAAAATGCTAGGTACATAAACTCCGCCTGTTCAAGAAATGGAGAAAAGCGCCATCTGTTTGAAAAGACGCGAATCAACAAGCTCCTACAGGACGTTACGGCATCCTGGATTCGTAAGAATATATTGCTTCCAACGCACAACACCATCTATTGGAAAAGTTGATAACTAAAGCCAGATTGAAGAACGTAGTTCTGAGATACCTAATTATATAGTTGGTAAATCGGTGTCTGATAGTAAATGCTTAAAGATGCTTCTAAAGTTTGGATTGTGTTTGTTTCACACATTGCAAATCATTTTGTATCTTTATCTGTTTTACTACAAGCAAGACACAATACATTTCGTTTTCAATTTCCATTTTGGAAAAGATTTCGCTAGGGCTTTTTATTTCAAACATTGAAAAATAAAGTGGTGTGTCACATCATACCTAGTACAAGAAACGCATAGAGTTCCACTTTTTTGGACAAATTGTGCAGCATATAATCAAATGTACTCAATCTCTTACGAATACTACCAGCTTGAGCCTTCCATGTGACTCAGCCATCAATTAACATTCCAAAAAAGTGGCAACACACGCGTTTCACACGCTTAAAATATATAATAATATGTATATACGTACGCGTTACCTTGACTTTGACCATCTAGTAAGTGTGGGAGAGCCATGCTTCGGCCGGAGTTATACCACGGCCTCACAGATAACCGAGGTGAAACAACCAGAGCGTTGTGTTTAGCCGCGTGAGTGAGGTTACCGGAGGCCCAATCCTCCCTCCAATCTCTAATCCCCTATAGCTTGGCAACGGTCTCGTAACTGCAACATCCCCATTGGCGGCGCTGATTGTTTACCACCATCTGTCTGCTCTTTTGCTGTTGATATACATACATATTATGTACCTACATACTTTATACATACACGCAGGTATTCTTAGACATTAAATCGGTAAACAAAAGCTTGAAATCATTTGTAAAAAACACAAATGGTCCGTCCCATATATAGGCAAGGTAATCAATTAAATCACTCGGAAATCTTCAAAACAATTGTCGTTAACGAACAAAAAATGTATGGAGACGGTCATAGTAGCGGACATAAACTTTTTTAGTCTTCTTGTTGCGATCGTTAATAAAATTAGCCTCAGAGCCTCGAGCGTCCCACACGCTAAGTAAAAAAGTAGTTTAAAAGAACCAATGCGAATCTCAATCACATACGTAGGTTCCGTACAATAACTATTACTGTAAGTAGGTGACTTTTAGTAATTTATTAATTTAGTATTTCAGCTCGACGTAAATCCTGCAAATAACGCGATCACGCCGAACATTGCGTTCTAATTTGACAAAGGGGGAGCGTAACAATAAAGTTTTTACACGTAAGTATTTTTAACAACAATGTTGTGAATCACATAAAGTCTTGTTTTTTGCGGAAGGGGGGGGGGGGAGTCCGCGACACGTTGCGCAGCGGTCAGTTACCCAGCCACTGCACCAACCGTACCTCACAGTCGAAGTGTGTTGGAGTGCAAACGGGCATCGGAACCACCTATGATCTCAGCACTAGAGGAATTAGAAGTGCGTTGGCCTATTAGAGGTCAGGGATTTGTGGGTTGATTTGAGGACTGGAGATGGTGGAAGGAGGATGACAAAGATTACCACACCCAGAGATTCTGTCACCCAATCAGACTGCACATAATTATGTATATCATGAACCGTGATAACTAGATAGTTACAATTTGAACAGAAATTGTATTTTTGTAGCCATTTAAACAAAAAATACGGTATTAAAAACAAAATTAAAATAAATATTATTTTAAGTGTGGTCGGCTCGACCGGAGTGATACCACGACCTCACAGAAAACCGGCGTGAAATAACCACAGCATTGTGTTTCGCCGTGTGAGTGAGGTTACTGGAGGCCCAATCCTTCCCCTCCCCCAATCCCTCCTCAATCCCTAAATCTCCAAATCCCTAATCCCCATAAAGTCGGCAACGCATTCGTAACTCCTCCGTTGCGAGTGTCCATGGGCGGCGCTGATTGCTAACCATAAGGTAATGCGTCCGCTCGTTTGCCGACCTATTACATAAAAAAAAAATATTTAAAGGGTCCTCATATTGTATGGAACCCTTCGAGCGCAAGTAACTG